CAAGAACAAGGTTTTGTCCTTTATTGCATTGCTCACCACCGTTCTATCGACCTTGCCACCTTCATCATTCAAAAAATGGTCGTTGCCTTTGAGCGAAATAACCTTGGTCTTCCTTACAGTTGCCTCATTAACCAGCTTCTCGCCAAATTTGAGGTTCCCTCTTTTGATGAGGATGACTTTGCTTCTCCTTCCCGGCCTTTCACCAAAAAAACTGTCTCTCAGAGTCAGTCTCATGTTAGGGGGTCCCCTCTGGAGTTGGTAGTTCTGGTGCAGGTGCAGGGGATGCTGCTGTGGCCGAGGAGGCCAAGTATGATGCTGCTGCTGCAGGTGAGGCTACTAGTAAGGGGGAAGCAGCTTCCTCCGGTTCGTACTATCCGAGACCAGCTGCTTCAATTCGAGCAGTCCATGGTTTCACATTTTGATTGCCTGGAGAGCCGGATGGATATCTTCGATGCCCGGCTTACTGATCTTGAGACCACCACTGATGCTCGGCTCATAGCATTGGAGGCCTCATCCAGGCGCATTGAGGAGTCAGAAGCTCAGTCCTCCGTTCATCTTTCCCAGATCCTGTCCCTCCTTCAGATGCAGCCACCTCCACAGCCACCAGCTTCGTGATATCTGTTTTCTTGGCTAGTATACTCTTTGCACAATTTTTTTTTCTTGTTTTTTGTTTCTTTTTCACTTCTATTTTCACTTCTGTTTTCCTCCCGAACAAAAAAGGGGAGTATTTTTTGAGATGTGTTGGGTTTTGGGCATGGATATTGAGATATTTTTGATACATGGATATTGGGATACTTTTGACATTTGTTTAGATATATATTTGAATTATGTTTAGATATATGTTTGGTTATTTATCCGGTTCCACGGTTTTGGTTTGTATGGTTGTTTCCACAAGTGGATTGTTCAAGGATTAAGTGTTTCATATTCGCTTTCAGCTCTTGTGGTTTTGTAGTGGTTTTTTTTTTTTTTTTTTTTTTTGTGGTTTATTCCCTCTATATTTTCATATATTTAATTTGATCCCAAATCAGCTTTTTAAAATTATTGAATAAACAAAACCTACAAAAGATGTCCTAAGCTGTGTCCAAATATCTGTGAAGTGTCCTCAATATGTCCTACAATAAAATAATCATTAAAAAAATTGACAAGTCATGTGACGAGTTAGACACGTGGACATGCATGTCCCCACTGTGTCAGACATGGACACGGCACCCATCTTGGAGTGTCAGTGCTTCTTAGTTTGGCATAAATAGCTTATAACAAAAAGCCCAAGATCAGTAATATGTTCACAATCAGCTACTATTCATGTTTGTTAGGAAAATTGTTAGAAAAGTTTTGTCCGGGAATTGACAAAGGGAGAGATTGTTAGGACCCTACTTGTTGTCAAATTTTGTGGACAAACTTGGGGTTTATTGAGTCGTAATTTTCCTTTGGTTTTTGTCTTCCCGCTCAAGCGGGGAATGTGGCGCTCGAGCGGAGATTCCATTATCACAGTATTTTGGTTTGTCTGCAAAATATACTGAGTGGTGTGTTTTTACGCTCGAGCGTGGGATCTTACGCTCGAGCCTGAACCCTGATTTGAAACACGCGATGTAGAGTCCCCGCTCGAGCGTCCATTTCTACGCTTACGCTCGAGCAGGCCTCGCGATTTCAGATTCTATCAAACCTTAAGTTGCTCCAAATCTAGGGTTACGTTTGAGTTTGGTTGATCTTCTTTGAGAGTATTTTTCTTCAGTGAAATCCGAATGATTCAAAGACAGAATAATCAAAGGAGTTTGATGCTGTGTGCAATCGTTGGTTCGACAATGGATGTTATGGATTCAACATCAGTCTAATCAATTTCAAGACGAATGTTGCGGTGAAAGATATACAGAAGATTTGAAGACAAATTGGAAGCTTTTGGGTAATTTGTTTGGTATCTTTATAATCTTTCTTTCTTCAGTAGTGGATTGATTTGTAACGTTTCGCCCGTGGCTTTTTTATCACAATTGGAGTCCAATTGTGATTTTTTCACGTAAAAATTGTTTGTGTTGATTTATTATTTCGGAAACAACAATCTAAATCACATTCGTACGTACTTGATGATTTAGATTGGTAAGTTTTGTTGTTTGAGAATTGGTACAATTAGTTCTTGATTTAATCACGAATCACTTAAGTTTTTCAATTTAGATATAAAAATTGATATTATTAAAAGAAAAGAAATTAAATTGATTTTTGAGTAATAGTTTTGGGGGCGGGGCAAAATAATATTTTCTCAACAAAAAAAATAGAAAGTGACAAATACATCAGTTAGAGAGAGAGATGGTAATACGGTAGAATCTGTTGAGTTTCAAATTTTTGGAAGTTGTAAGACTTTTGAAAGTTGTGAGATATGATAAGGTTCAGTGAGTAAATGAGGAGTAATCTCCAACGGGTTAGATGATATGGTTAGGTCAGAGATTAGATATGGTTAGGTGGGATGCAAGCAGGTGGCCATTAAAAACAATCTGTATTATGGCGGTTGGCTCGGTTTCAACGAGTTCAAAATACCTAACCCCGGTCTCCGAACTAAAACCCACAAAACTTGATCAGCCTAAATTGCAGGAGACCAAAATTGCAATCGAAACCATCCATATGGTGTGTGGGTCGGCTGGGTGGGTCACGCTCTGCGGTTCCTTGAACACCCCTAGCTCAAACTCATAAAGGTGCGCTTGACGCACACAATCAATAAGGACTCAAGCTCTAAAAGCCCTGACAGAAATGCTCGACAAACGCTCAAGCGTGAGTTGGTTATTGAGCTGTAAAAAGCCAAACAAGTAAGAGACGGTTAATGGGCATTTAAGAGGCAATTTGTCGCTCTCTAACCCGCTTGAATTCAGTGATTTGGAAAGAAAATAAATGCATTTCTGTTAGTTTACACTGCCTGTTTGGATTAGTAAAGAGAAAAGAAATGGGGCGACATGGTAAGAAATAGATAATTTCTTTATAACCCTCATTTTGAGTCTCTCCAAAAGAGGAGAGATGGAGAAAAAAGAAGCCAACAAATTACTTTTTTTTCATAATACCAAAACTATCCCTATAAACGTAGAAAAATAAAAAGACTAACAACCATAAAAAATTACTTTGGTAATATAACATGAAATAATTTTTTTTCTTATCTTTTATGTCAAAACAAGATAGGAGAGAAAACACAATCTTCTCTCTTCTTTTTGTTTCGTCTCCTACTTAATGTAATCATTTCTTTTCTTATATCCTAAGTTCACTAAGTTCTCAAATGGAATGTAACGTTTCGTTACTCAGTTATCAAGAATTTGAAATGTCAATCTCAGTTGTTCATCAATCTAAAGCTTTAGATCATGAATTGATTTTGATTTGTCTGTCTTCATTGTATCATCTCACACAAAAATGTTCAATCACTTCTTTTATTTCTTAATACCATAGTCACTGGGTAATAAATAGCCTCATTCAAGAACAAATATCAAAGTGAGGAGGTTCATGGATGCTATTGAATCAAGAGAAGTTGACGCCGTCAAAGCCGCTTCAAAGTAGAGATCAAGCTTGGTAAAGCTTGTGGTGTACTTTATCATGTAGGTAAACTTGGGTACAAGTTGTAATTCCTTCATCTTGAGTAACTGTTTCATTCATTAGTTCATTTGATTTAGGTGTTGGGATCACGGTTTTTCGTATAGAGTAATCAGCTTCTGTAGGGATTTCCATATTAAATGGCTTGTTGATCTTCTTCATAACTTTATAATCACATTGAATTGATCTAGGGTATTTATATACATATATATATATCTATACTATATATTAAGTAAAAAGGGTTTTTAACTCCAAGCCTTGTGGGAGCTCCAATCTCTTAATCTAAATTTCTTAATTTTTTGATTTTTTTAAAAAAAAATTCTTAACATTTAGTAACTTCTCTCAACTCCCAAGTCTTACTCTCGTAATAACACTTTAATGCATTAAGAACAAGCATAAAAAAAATTCTTTGAAATCCAACACATGAATTCTTTTAAAATTCCTAACACATATGATTATTATCACTCATAATAACACTTTAATCCATTAAAAACAAACATAAAAAAAATTTTGTGAAAAATCTAACACATATGATTATTATTAAAATATTAAACTTTAATATAATATAAAAAAAAAAAGTCAAGATAGAAACGAGTTGATTTAAATAGTAAAGAGTACGAAAGGCCATCCCAGAAGCTGAATGCTGATTGGTCGAATAACTCGCACGCGGATCACTGGATTTTAAATGTGTGCCGTTGGGATGCAAAACCCTTATAATTTTAAATTTTTCAATATAATATTTAATATTTTTCAAATTTTTGGAGGGGCAGTTTCCCTGCCCGCAACCCCCTCCTAGATCCATCCTTAAATGAACATATGCAAGTAAGGTAGACAAGATACATCCAACTTTTGATCAAATGTGAAGTTGCAATTGAATAATTTAATCTTCCATTAATTCTATTTATTAAACTGCCCAAAATTCACTGAATGAATATATGTCTTTTTCAATAAAAAAAAAAAGATAACTATGAACTAAATAAATCCAAATCTCATCTATATATAGCAATGCATGAATCAAATATTTGTTAGAGGTACCAATAACCCAGGATGAAATAAATTTAAGTCAGTCAAACATGTTATTAACAACCAAGATAAAGAAATTGATAGCACTTATCTTTGATGCGAAATCCTTACAGATTGTTTGCAGCACAGCCCCCAAAATTCAACTCTTTTCTTCCATATACTTGACAATCAAAGCAGAACACAATAAATTAATTTTTTCCCAAGCTTCAAGCTAGGCATTTCAAGTACCAAAAATTTGAAAATAATTATTTACCTTCCATAAACCAATAGCGACCTCCACCAGCTCATATCAGTCGTCAAACCACTTGGCATGCGCTTCAATTCAGATCTAACAAAGTAAACCCTAATCATTCAGAACATTTTTCAAACTTTCTAGTGAGAACAACAAATTCACATAATCACACATGACACCAACAATATCACTCAGAATTTGCATGAAAGTACTGAAATGCTGCAATATAACAACGAAAATTCTGAATCGCTTCAGAATTGATTGAACTGATTAGTACATCTAGAACTGATTTTGGATTAACAAAACCTAAATAGAGAAAATTAAACAAAAGAAATAAAAATCCGATGCTATAATTTGCATGGGTGTATAAACCCAAACACACCCATAAAGACCAAAGAAATTTACATGACTACCCCTACAGATACAACTCTCACCCTCTCATTTCCTTCCCCTCTTTGCGGTGGCTACTTTCTTCGCCGGCGACTTCACTGTCTTGGCCTTCGCGCTCTTGGCCGGCGCCTTCTTAGCCGGGGCTTTCTTCGGCACCGGCTTAGGAGCCGCGGCTCTCTTCCCCGGAGATGTCCGAGTGGACGTCCTCGACGCTTTAGCCGGCTTCTCCTTCGGCTTTGGCTTGGGCTTCGCCACAGCCTTGGGCTTCACTGCAGCTTTCGGCTTCACGGCAGCCTTTGGCTTCACAGCAGCTTTTGGCTTCGCAGCTGGCTTGGCCTTTGCCGCTGGCTTGGGCTTCACAGCGGCTTTAGCTTTTGGCGCAACAGCTTTTGTCTTAGCCGGAGCCTTCTTTTCCTTTTTCGCTTTTACAGCCTTCGGCTTTGCAGCAGCCGGCTTCTTCTTCGCTGGAGCACTAGCAGCTGGCTTCGGTGCAGGAGCCCGAGTCGCTGGAAGCTTAAACGAATTCTTAACCTTCACAAGCTTATCAGAAGCAACAAGCTTCTTCAACTGAACCAACAAAAGCTTCTTGAAGTTAGGTGGAAGATGCTTTTGCTTCTCCTCAATGAACTTCGTAATCGCGTATTGACTCGATCCATTTTTCTCCTTCAGCGTCACAATTGCGTCGGTAATCATCTACACACCACGAAAAACAACAAATTCAGATCCAAAACCTCAAACCACAAACTCAAATGACACAAATTCAGAAAAAATTTAAGCTTTTTCAGTACCTCAATGTATGGAGGATGCAAAGGCGGGTTTCTAGGCTTTCTCGGACCGGCCGGTTTCTTTGCCTTTGGCTCCTTCGCCTTCTTCGACTTTCCACCCTTCGCCGCCGGTTCCTCCTCCGCCGCCGGCTCAGCCACCTCCGGTTCGGGAACAGACTCAACCGCTACAGCTACTTCTTCGGTCGCCATTTGATGATTCCGATCGGAAACTTTACGGCTCGGGCTAGAGTGAAGCAGAGAAGAATAGAGAGAGAGGGATTAGATCTATAAGACCGTATAGCATTTACTGGTATTCTCGTTGGTGTGAGACGAAGATAGAAACGAGTTGATTTAAATAGTAAAGAGTACGAAAGGCCATCCCAGAAGCTGAATGCTGATTGGTCGAATAACTCGCACGCGGATCACTGGATTTTAAATGTGTGCCGTTAGATTAGTTGCTATCGACGGTTATGAGTGCTAGATATGTGAGCCTTGGATGGGTATTTTGGAAAGTATGCTGTTTTGGTGACTTTGAGGTGTGTTTTTGTGCTCAATTGATCTTGGAATAACTTGGGCTACACTGAATGGATTTTTATGGGATTTTGATGGTTTTTTAGGAAATTATGTAAGCTTTCTAACGAGCATTTACATGGATCTAGATGATGATCCATTTGGGAGAATTTTGAATTTAAAGCTATGATGGTCGGGACGGAAGTTTACCTGGAGTTTATTGAGGTTTTGACACGTTTTTGGAAAATGCTTCGAACCATTATGCATTTTCTGCATCAGATGTGATAGTAGATTTGTAGATGAATCCATTGAAACAAGAATCACTAAAAATGGATTAGATTTGATTGTAAAATTATTGATTACAATGGTCATGAAGATGAACATCATAAAGTGTGCCTAATATCAAATTTGATGTCCGGAATTGTTTTAGAAAATTGCTTGCAACCATCACACAATTTTTGCATCAGATGTGATAATAGCTTTGTAGATGAATCCATTGAATCAAGAATCACAAAAAATGGACCAGATTTGATTGTAAAATTATTGATTCCAATGGTCATGAAGATGAACATCTTCACAAAGTATGCCTATTATGCAATTTGATGTTCTTAGTTGTTTTAGAAAAATGCTTGGAACCATCATTCAATTTCTGAATCAAATGTGATAATAGCTTTGTATATGAATCTAGTGGATTGAGAATCGTGAAAATCGGATTCGATTTGGTTATAAAATTATTGATTACAATGTTAAAGAAGATGAACATCTTCACAAAGTATGCTTGTATTTCTTTTTGATAAATGTCTCATTAACCAAAAAAATCGTGAATCCTTTATATTTTGATTGTATGTACTATGATCAATCTAGATCAAAGAATATTAGTTTGTGGATATCTTAAGTTGAATGATCATGGAAACAACATTTCCATTGTAGTAGGTTTGACCATTCTACTTCATGAAATGTAGTAGGGTTATGCAAAATATTGGCCAATCCACTAAAACTACCCAATTCGCACAAATTTGGCTGTTAATCTGGCTGTTAATCACAGGTTGGTCTAATCCGCAATTTGAAATTTATAATTCATATTCAAAATCGTCCCACCCTACAATAATTAATACACAATTTTTTTTACTTCCAGTAAAATATTAAAGTAAAAAACAGTGTAAGAGAGATCTAAGATATAGAAGATAGTGTTATGGTTGAAATGAGTGAATTCATCCATTATCTTTCATGACCCCGTCGTTAATCACAATTTTAACTTATGAAACCAAATATATTTATTATTTTGTATTTTTCACATACAATTTTAAGCCTATGAAAATGTTTAGCATTTAATTTTTTTCCCTTCAATTAGATGGAAGCTTATTGATTAACTTACCCATGGCATTTAAAGGTGTTAAGTGAATATAGTATCAAAAATAAATTTAAAAGATCATCTTAAAACACTTGTAGCATGCTTTACTTTGTATATTAGCCGTAGAATTGATAGTTTCAATTGTTATTGTATAGCTCATATCCTTGAATTTACAATGAATAAGACAATGTTGTGTCAAATCTAATAAAATGATACAAGTAGCACTTGGTTAAGCTAATAAATTGAGGATAACCCTATTGTGCAACAACTATGTGATCAATCCTCTACACCAGTCAACAGAAAAATCAAATTATTGTTACAACATATATATTTTCCTTAACTTTTTAGGTTTCAAAAATCATAACGCTCAAGGTTCCATTTTGTTTAGTGGTACGGTATATACCAATACTGGTGAGTTTTCTGTATCGTTTTAGATTTATCGCTATAAATTTTATATGCTTATAAAAACATATTACCTTATACTGAATAATTTATGCATAACATAAATAATTATCAAAACACACACAAACACATATCCAAAATTAGGTTTCAAAACAACCAATAATATGTTCCAAGTACCTCAAAAAGACCAAAACACATACCATTGTACATATCCAAAACCAGTTCCCACCATTTAATATAATAAGCCATCACCAAACAAGTCTTACTAGAAAGAGAGATAAGAAAGGAAAAAAAATATATCAATCAACATAATTATAAGGATCTTGCTCTCCATCAAAGTAAACATTTTCACCACCCCAATCATATTGGCTCTCATCCCATTTGGAAGGTCGTCATCAGTGTCATCAAAACAAGGTTCGCGATTCTCCAATGTCAATGTTTGTAAATGTGGTGGTTCAATTGTCTCTCATTCAAGGTTAAGGTCCTCTTCATCAAGTAAAGTATGTTCTTCGGATACCAAATCCTCCATTACATCAATGTTGTCAAGACTAATTGGATCAAGGGCGTCTTATCTTTAACTAATATTCTTGCAAACATAAGATCACATTTTTCATTACATTGATATTCATAATACTTTTATTGTTCAAGTTTTTTAACAATTAATTTATTTAAATTATACCTTTCTCGAAGTTTCAAGTTATAACAAACAAAGACTAGGTTCCACAATAATTTTACTAATCTCCTTCTCCATACTACATTTTCATAACGAGAACCAAGCCATTTATCAATTATGAACATTTGTCTAAGCTCTTTCTTAAAAGTGAGAAAACATTGGAGACTTAAAAAGTTGGTTGCAAACCTTGTAATGTCGGAGTAACACAAATCTCTACCATCTGTGAAATATTTCCTCATTATATTAAAAACCCATGCATGATTGTAGATATATTTGCTAATATGTTTAACTATTTGAATGGTAACGTCAATATGAAGAAAGTAGTTTGACTTGGCAAAGTTAACATTGAGTCCAAGAATGAGTTGCACGAGGGGACCAAAAGAAGGTTTCATAATTTGCTTGCAATTTTTTTTCTACAGCTTTATAAGAAAAATTTATTTGTAATAGACTACACAATATTACTTAGTCGCACAAGTTGAACAACTTCATCAAAAATACCAAGCAATGTATCAAAATCCTTAATGAGGCATGATGTATCAACTGACATTTAAAAACATAGTGCCTTTTGAACTATACACAAGAAAATTTATAACTGACACTTGATTTTGACTTAACTATCGATCAGACATAACCGAACATCGGTGTAACAACCATTCATACAAATGCAAAGAGAAAAAAAACAACGTATTAATGAAAACAAAACATAGAGTTTGAGGGAGAAGGAGCATTACAAGTATCATAGAGATGGGGAGGCAAAATAAGGGCTATAGTCGTATAAGAAAACAAAAATGTAGGTCCACACGAATCCTTACTTTCAAATTTAGATCTATAGATCTATTCTATGAGTAAAAAAATTCCACATGTTCTCATTTTGTAAAATTGTTATACAAACAAAGGCAAAATCTAAAATGAACTAAACACATATAAGTATTTTATTTATTTTTTAATAAATAATATATTTATAAAATTTTATAAGTGGGTTGGGTCAGCCTAACTAGAAACATCAATCGCAATGGGCCTAAGAACAAGTAATCCAGCCCAGTTTATTAGCCAAAAGTACCATTCCCAAGTCCTAAAAAAATAAGGTTAGGTTGGATTGGGCGGGCCAACAGCCCGATGTCCACCCCTAACTTTAGTTGAGGTGGGTTCGTAGAAAGGGAATAGGACATTGAAGATAGAAATGAAGTGTGGTAAGAAGACAAATTGAATAAGAAAGAATTGGTGGTTATCAAGTTTGTAAAGAGAGAATAATGGAATGAAGTCAAAATACATGAATTTTTTAGACGAAAGAGAGAGAAATAAGAGAGGAATGATATGAGGTGGGTGTTGCACTTTTGTATTTCGCGGGGTCGCCGCAGTATACTGGTGTCTCTGGCGGCTGTTGTCGACTCCAACTAGTAAGCGTTGGCCTTACTATAAGTCCCAATCTATATGTGTCTCCGACCTGCTATCAGTCTTACGCTGCTAATGCTTTGGGGTCTGCTATCGACGTCAAGCATCTATACGCTGCTCTATATGGAGGAGGTCTCCCTCTAAGGCTACTATCACCTTGGGGAGCTGCACCTCAGAAGATAGTTGCGGAGGTTTAAATTGCCTCGGCTTCGTTTCCCTCAACAAGTATCAAAGGTAGCGTTGCAATAATCTTTTGATAGGATGGCGAGACTAAGGTAGGGTTTGCATCAGTAACTGAGCTGCGTCAAATAAGGCCTTACTAACTTTCCTTAGACACTTGCTCTTGGATTGTTTGGCCCAAACAGGTCGAATATGGTTCGGCTTGCTAGCTAACCCATTTCTCTTGGGTTTTGACCCAAGTTCATTTAATGTTTTTTATTTGCCTAATAAAGGTGCCTTCCCACAATTAGGTTAACTGTTTAAATTCTGCCCTTCTACCCTTGTTCAGATACCAAAGTAAATTTTCAAATCTAACATGTGATTTGAAACTAATATCATACTTTTTCACCTTGGTCATGTTAGTAAAGATGTGAAGTTAGAATTTGGCTAAGTAAGTAAAATATCGTAATTTAGAGATGTGATTTTAAAGGCAATTTCAAAAGCCACTCAAATCTAATTTTAAACAATAAATAAAATACCAACAAAATCTAGAGACACTAAATAAAAACAAATCAATGGTAGGAAAGTAACACTTAAATATTACTTTTCTTGTATTTTATGATTAAACTTATATAATCTATCTTATCAACCATTTATTTTTCAGCAGACACAATAATTAATATTGTCAATCTTCTTTATGATAATATTAATTGAAGGTAATATTTTATTAACAAGTTTTTTTTCTTCAGAGAAAATTGTAGCCTCTATAGTTATAATAAAATTTTATAAATAATATATACATTTGAGAAACAACCATACATTTTTTAAAATAATTCACTTCAATT